CAGGGTGCAGCCTTGCCTGCCTGTATGCTATCAACAGGTCCAAGGAAAAGGGGCATCCCCCCAAAAAAAATATATTACACTGAACCAAAAGAAATAAAGAACAAAACAGATAGTACAAATCCGTGGAGCATGTTGTGGCCCCCAGTTTGGAGTGGCAGAGGGTATGATTCACTGTCTCTTGGTCCCGGTCGAGTATTGGTGTTAACGTTCCTGGTCTAGTGCTATTGCTCGGTCAGGTGCTCCCGTGTGTCACCGTGTTTGGGGGGCTGGTTGGGCGAGGGGGCCTGTGTGGGGTGCGCACCAGTGGGCAAGGTGTGAGCGATTGACAGCCCCCCGGGCACAATGCCTTCCATCACCCCGGGAATTCCTCCTGGGGCCACGCCCACCACGCCCGGAGGGTACCTGCGAAATGGTCACACACAGAAGGTCCCATTAAAGGTGATGAACCACGCCGTGATTGGCCAACGACCTCCCAGTAGAGGAGGGTGGGGCGGGGCATTGCAAGGCACACACTCTCCAAAATACTCCTAAATTTCCAACTCAACAAATAACCGGCAGTGATTTTTTTTTTTCCCTCCAATATGTCCCTGTGTGTGTTTACTGAATGCCAAGCATGGTAAAAGTCCTTTCTGGCTAATGACTGCACTGCTGCTCAAGGATGCTCATAATTAATGTGTACAATAAAGATTCTGCTCAATGACACTTTCCAAAAGTGGCACTGGAAATGAGTTACGTGCACATCTTGCATAACATGCATCCAGCATCAGTTTACCCGCAATGCAGGTGTCTACAATATGAAACGCAAATGACAACAGGGGCTATTCTGCAACAAAATGACTGGTCTAAATGCATTTTTTGCTAGGCCGAATCTTAACTGAAATCCTTTTAAAATCAATGACCCTCATCAGACTAAACAAGCAGATCCATTCGTCCATTCATGATCTATTCATGATGCATTCATATGACAATTTAAAGCATGAGACATTCATGTACATGTGAAAATCCATGTGAGCGTGTGCACAGGGATAACAATAGAGATTTGCTGCAGGTAGTCATGTTCAGGTACTCAGTCATATCAAACCTATTATTGTGCAAATTAATGATCTGCTACAGTGATTTTGAAATCAGTGATGTATTTTAAACTTATTATGCTGACATTGAATCTGTATATGTTGTTTTTGTGTTAGATACATCTTGCTTGGTAATTTTTGGTTGTGAGAAGTAGTGATGGCCAAATGAAGCTTGGTGAACCACTTGCTGTATTTTCTAACACCACTAGATGGTGCTTTATGCTCAAAAAAGGCTCAAAGCATGCCCCAAAGTAAACCGAGAGCACCATCTAGTGGGGTCAGAAAATACAGCAAATGGTTCATCGAGAGGTGTACATTCCTGTATGGTAGGGGAAAGGGGGAGGGTCATTGAATTAGCAATGCAGCAATAAAACATACAAGAAAAAAACTATTCTTAACCAGCCAAGACAGACTAATGGCCAGAGTATTTACCTGGTTCTGATTTAGGTATTTAATTTGTCTTGGAGACCACCGGTTGCTATGGCCTGTAGGGTTTGGTTCACTCGGCTGTGTGAGAAAAGCAGTCAGTCCATGTGAGACATGGAGGAGGACAAACTAGGGACATAAACACCGCCTAATGTTGACAAGGAGGAATGGAATCCATCCTAATATTTCTGAACTTTTAGGATGTGCGAGATGGAGAAAAATCCACCCACAGCACTGCCAAGAAAGGACATAACAAGTCCATGGTTAGGGAAAGAAAGCAGATACTTGTGCAGAAATCATGCCAAAGTTATGTTTGTAATCAGATCGTGGCTATCAAAAACCCTCCCTCACTTCAGATGCCTTGCTATCCATGTTACTGTGTTTCAGAGTCTGTCTACAGCTACATATGAATAGTGTCCAACAGCAAACACGAGAACAATAGAACAAGACTTATCAAGCAGCATGTGTCTGCATCTCACCTATAGGCGGCGCCATTGAGCTCAGGATGAACTTGCTGGTCAATTACTGACCAGGGTGCTGTGGTGACAAAGAACTCCTTGTTGACACAGTTTCTTAGGCTGTCAGGAATGCGGCCTTGGTTTGTGACAGAGAGGCACAAGCAAAAGAAAATGCTTAATAAAATCAAATGGTCTTCCAAATGGGAAGAGAATTATACGGCAACATACTGCCAAGATGATTAAATTAAGCTGAATCCAGATATGTATGAATCAAATGAATAATTTCAAATGAACATCATTATACCTTCCAGTTCTACCCAAAGGCTTGGCCTCCCTTGTGTTTATGTAAAACTAATGATGGCATCAATTAAAGGATACCTTTAAATTGAAGAGGGCGCAGCTAGGGGGCCCAGGTGGGAGGGGTTACAGAAAATCATTTAGATTTAAATTTTATTCACGTAGCTGAGGGACATTCAGGGCTACTGTGGCACAAATATAATACAATCATTAGAACACCAGTAGATATTAATAAAGGCCTTCTAATATTCATGTGAGATTACACAATTTGTATTAAACAGATGTGCAAATCATTACGGTATGTTTTTTTCATAATTATATCACTAAAGTGATTAACATACTGCTATTTTATTTTTTACATATTATTCATTTTTAAACCTATACATATTTTGAAGCTATTTCCGATGACTTGCTTATAGTATAACATTAGCAGAAAAAGACACGAGCCTTCTGCTTATGGGCCTGATGCAGTGCAGGCAGCGTGGCTGGGGGGGGCAGTGGGCTCGGGGGGGACGCACCTGTGATGGCCCGGCGGATCTCAGTGGCGGCCGCTTCCCGCATTTCCAGGGACGCCTGCTCACTGTACCAGGCAGTGTGGGGTGTGCAGATCAGGTTGGGCGCATCCTTGAGGGGGCCCTGGGAAAAGCTTTGGTGAAGAAAATGACATCATTACTTATTTGTCCATCAGATCAGTATTTACATTTACAATCCAATATACTATTATCCATCCATCCATACCCACTTTCCTATTCATGGTCGCGGTAGTCCAAAGCCTATCCCAGATGCTATGGGTACATACTATGGGCTATTTAAAATCACCTGAACCACAAGTCTTTTTGACTTTGAGAGGAAGCCTCCACAGACATGAGGAGAACATGCAAACTCCACACGAGTTCAAAGGAAGGAGTCAAACCTACATCCCTGGGTTTTGGGGTTACAGCACTTTGCAAAGAGCCACCATAGAATGTTAACATACTACTGTTCCTTTATAAATGATCTTTGTTACTGACATTAAAATGCACGCTTTATAATTCTGTTAATTTGTGTTCAAAATCATATATTAAAGTGCACAAGGTGAAATGTGCTTTTTAAAAGGGAGACTGAAATGTTATCCATCCCCATGACTGGCCACGGTTCTCTCTTTCCGGTCCCTTCCAGCATCCTGCCAAAAACCGCTGACTTCTGTCCGGCTACAGTCTCTCCTCAGCTGGACGGGCACTTCCTGTCAGCCACACGGCTCGAGGGAGCAGTCAATACTAAACGTGCTGGCGGGAGATCTGGGGTCCGCTACCCCCCTCTCACTTTCAGATCCGCCAAACACAACATGTAATCTAACCTCATGTGGCCAATTCTAAAGCGGATCCTTTCGATGTGAGATTAGCAGAAAACAGGATACATCTACAGGCCAACAATTTGCTACTATCGGTCATCACACCTCATTACATTGTCAGCATAATCAATGTCAGCCAGAAAATTGCTTTTGTTATATATACAGTACTGTGTATATACAGTAGTGTGCAAAAGTCTTATGCAGAAAATGAAGTTTAAATTATCTTTATGATGTAAAAACCTTGACATTTGTCAAAATGTGATGGCTTAACCATTTGAATACCTCTTCTAAAGCCACCCCAGTATTTACATTTACAATCCGATATACCATTATTATTATTATTATTTTACTTGACTACTAGAAAACCTCGAATGGCTAATCAGGACCTCATCGAGTTATTTAACTAAATTAATTAATTCGAGCTGGTGGAAAAATTTAACAAATATATGGAACAGCTGAGGTGGCCCCTGAGGAGAAGGTTTGGTATCATCTAGCCATCCAACAAAATATCAGTAACTTTGTTTTTATTGTTTTATTGTTATTTTGCATAAGTTCTAATATTAAATTGTGCTTTCCTTCTGAGCAAATATACACTTATTACCCACATAAATAACTGCAAACATTTTTACTGCCTTAGACTTTTGTCTATCTCATCTATCTTCTACCTGCATAACTTTAATAGTTTAGTTGTACTGCACTTATTGGTCTCATTTACTACACAATACTACATCAGTCTCTTTGTTGTGCATTGTAAAGCCTTTACATCTCTAACCCCATTTGTCCACATGCCGTACTATTGTTCTATGACAATGTGAAGCCTGGTAGCAGCACAGAACGACAACACTGAGCAACACTGTGTCGCATGAGTAATGACACAGCTGACTTCATAATCACAGTGTAACAACTGATCCAATTAAGTAACTAAGCCTTTCCTATGAAAGCAAAAGCAGATTAAACTCTCATCTGGCAGTTAGCAATCCGCCTTGATCCCCATCCACTGCCCCCCCCCTTCCCCTCTGGCCCCCTTCCTCACGTGAACGGCTCTGTCTCGTGGACGTCCAGGGCGGCCCCCCGTATCCGACCCTCCTTCAGGGCTTGGGTGAGGGCCTTCTCGTCCACCAGGCCGCCCCTGGCTGTGTTCACCAAGAAGGCTCCCTGTCGCATCTGTGCGGGGAACTGACCGTGAACTGCTGGCAAAGGACACTAAAGACTCTATGAAATAGGACCGTCACCATTATATTCCTATATCATTAACAAACATACCTATGAAGATGACTGATGGGGCTTTGGTTTGGTGTATTTAGGAAATGAATGTTAGGTATATTTCTTGTTATATAATAAACAGCGGCAATCTACCCAGTTAGGGGATACTATACTATACAATTGCATAGAATTAAACGAAAACTATTGGTTAATAATTATAGAAGAAAAACAGCATTAAGCATAAAGTGAATTCGATATCAACTGAATCAATATTCTAGCTAGTGGTCTTATTATACCTACTAAAATCTCTTCCTGAGACCTGGGCCTTCGTACACTTCTCCAAGAGTACATTTAAACACAATTCTAAGCATAGCTAGGCTTCCTTGTACCAAAAGGTACAGGCAAGACAAAAAAGGTTTCTATATTTCATTTTGTGATGCAAGATCCGCATGTTCAGAACCTACTTTACATTTAGCGTAGCAAACCACAATGCTAACGGAACATCCTCTCCATGCCCACCTGCTTGATTGTGAAGTCATTGATCAAGTGGTGGTTGTGCTCGTTGAGGTTGCAGTGCAGGGACACGCAGTCGCTCTGGTACAGCAGGTCCTGCAGCGTGTAGACGCGCTGCACGCCCAGCGAGCGCTCCAGCCCGTCCTGCAGGTATGGGTCGTAGAAGAGCACGTTGAAGCCGAAAGCCTTGGCCCGCACGGCCACCGCCTGCCCCGAACGCCCTGCACAAATACAGGCAAGCACCACTCAGAGAAGGACCCACACCTCGAAAACGAGATGCCCTGCCATTCTGGATCTGCCTGTAAGGTACATGGAGCATATACTGTACTTCTTGGGCCAACGATTGTACTACCATGGTAAACAACAACAAAAATCATTAATATAAAGAGATATTGCTAAAACAAAATTTTAAGCTTTAGCATTTTTGGCATTATGCTTTAAAAATTGCTACACGAATATCGGTGGTAATGTTTATAAGCAATCAAAGAATGTTACAAATATCATACATTGCATGATTAAAAAAGTAACTGGAGCAACAGTTGAATAAAGTTCTGCAATCTCTGAAGATTGGAAGTGTTTCCACAATTTTGGCCACTAGGGTACAAAGCTAACCTTAGCCATCATCTCATGGGCAGATAGTGAGGCAAAAGCCTGAAAAATGCTAATTGACATATTTCTGTGGTGAGGAGCAGGAGAGTAAGCCAGCGTTCATAACAGGATTAGTCAGTTTTGAAGTCTTGCAGTTGGGTGATGGATGCTCGAGTGACTGCTTTAGCCAAGGCGGCCAATTAGCCCCACAACCCGTCAAAGGGCTCTCTTGATAAACCCATGGAGGGGAGGTCATTTCAGGTCGTTCTCGCACCACACCTAGGCCAGAAGACCAGGTGAAGAACAGTCAGAAATTAATCCTTAAAATGAGAGATCAGGACATTTTGGACACCAATCCGTGACACTCATTCCTGCGAGAAAATAGACAGTTCAGAGAAAATAGCTGACCCAGTTTTAGTGTAAGATTGCATTTTTTCTTCTCTTATGACTGTCAGAGAAAAGGACGAAAGTTGAATTTTATTGGCTCCCACGTATGTGGTGGCGCTGTCCGGCCTCACTTTGGTGAGGGAAAGGCTTGGTCAAGGTCTGAAGGGGGGTGGGGTGGGGTTGGGTTGGGTTGGGGGGTAATGGTGCGTTCCATTTGCCCTGGGAACTCGGATTCCGAGTTGGATTCCGAGTTTCAAAGCCGGAAGTGACGACATGCGCGCTCCCGTTTCTCGGAGATCCGAGAATGATCTCGGATAACGCAGAGGATCCCGAGTTCAGAATCGAAGATGGCTGCGCCCTTTATCAACAG